CATCTCAATTATCGTCACTAGGTCATCTCTAGTTAACCCCTAGTATGATGTCTATAAATAGCGCTACCCCCAGTATGATGTTTGTTCAAGTCATAACAATAGTAATATATTTACAATTACTATTATTATTAATTTTTTTTATTTTATGAACAATGTGTTCAAGAGGTGCAGGAAGTTCACGCCGTCAAAGAAATTCGAAAATGTGGCTACTACCTCCATTTACTTATGACTACAAGAGCGAAAAGTACTCGAGTCCGAAGGATTATTATGCTGGTATCCGAGCAGAATGAGCGTTCAAGGTAACAGAGCAAGAAGGATTGTTTAATGATTTACGGAACTTTGGAGTATCAGTATCTCATCTCATTCATTGACCATGGCTAGACGAAATGTGAGTGACTATGAAAAATAAGTTAGCAGAATTAAGAAGGAGAACAACAGAATGTTGATGCAGAGATGTCGACATTTCATGCTTCAACTAGCCACCGAAATGACAGAAGTAAGCAACAAAGATTTGACAGTGATTGAGCGAAATAATGTCTTAAACAATGAAAAATATCTGTCTGACTACTACATGTCAGATGAGGAATGAGAAATCAAACACCTTTATCTTTCTTATATGTTTGTATGTTGTGTCGTATCTTCGTTATTGGAGTGTAAGACAATGTTGTTGTTCATCTAACTTACGGATGTATTTCAACTATTTGTTATATAAACCTGAAGTTTATGAAATCACTACATTTATAAGTGCATATGTCAAGATTCGTTACAAATTTCTCTTCCTATTGATAACTCTTATCTAAACATTGCAAAGCCAGTACACATGGTAGTTGTATGTTTGAAATTATTGTTAACAACTATGCATCAGAGTTGTCACGTCAACTTTTATGATCTGAACAACTATGCATCAACTTTATAGGAGTTGCCACTTCGACTTTTATTTACTACTTAGTGCATAGCTGAAGTTTTAAGCAAAGTTCAAATCCGCTTACAAATACAATTCAATTTATTTTGCCTTGACCATATATTTAATTTCATTTTTCACCTTACATATTTCATTTAATTTAATTGGAGAAATTTGACCAATTTAATTTGAAGTTAACTATGTGTTGATTTAAGTCGGTGTTATTCTTGTCTGCATGCTAGGCTAACTTTTATCTGTAACACTTTTAAGTTCTATACATCGAAAAACCCATTCATTCTAATGCTACTACAAATTAATCTTCAATACATTTTGACTGTATAATATTTTATCTTCAACGTTTATGAATCTATTTAGAGCTGCATAGGGTGGCTTTTTAAACACAAATGGTCTAATTGCTTTGTTGTTTTGTTCTGACACCCCCCATCCCATTATGAATTGTAGAAATTCACATGGGTACAGTAGCTATGGTACGATAATAAATTGTAGCTCGGCGCAGTGATATGTCCAACATTTCTCAGTGATGCATTGACTTTAACAGACGTAATAAATTGTATGCTTTGCATTTTCCTCAGATGCTATGTGACTTTGTGTAACAATGCAGTGATGCATGTGATTTTTTTCCTCAAATGCAGTGATACATGTGATGTATGTAACTTTGTGCAGTGATGCAGTGATGCGTGTGACTTTGTGCAGTGATGCAGCGATGCATGTGAGTTTATGCAATGATGCAGTGATGCATGTGACTTTCTGATTTCGTCAGTTATATACTTTGTGACTTTTTTCCTCACATGCAGTGATGCATGTGACTTTGTGCAGCGCGACTTAGATGCTTTGTTTTTTCCTCATATTTCAGAATTCATCTAAATCACATTAATATGACCACATGACAATAGTGTTGACAAACAACTATATAAAGGACTGAAGGAGTGATGGTAAACACACAACCTTTCTACTTAGTTCGCCCTAGGAAATTATCGTTCATCTGTTGAGAAAAAATCAAATGGAGTATAGATTCACGGCAGGGGATAGGAATCGCAGAGGTGAGAGTTCACGACAAGGAAGAGGAACGGGAAGGGGACTTACAGGGGGTAGGAACTTCGAAAAAGGTGAGAGTTCATGCCGAGGAACAGGAATGTGAAGGGAAAGTGGGATGCTGAAGATGAAACACCATTTACTTTATTAGATGCCTCTTGTGCTGATCATGATAGGTTTGAGAAACGATATTTTGTCATGCCTAAGTACTATTGAGATCCATGTGGTTTCATGGAGGATCCATCTGATAATCAAATAGGATATGGTTTAGCAGACGCTAGACTTCTGAAGTGGTCCGCACTATTTATAGAGCGAGTGCAAATGGAAAGATTATGTCGGGAAAATCGACTGAAGGTGCCGAAAGCACGTTCAGTTCAGATCCAAAAGGAAGATCCATATAATGTTGATCGACTATGTAAAAGACTTCGGCGTAAGATTTCTCAAATGCGCCGTAGGTCAGCCCGCGATATAGAACTATTTATACTTAAGTCGGATGCCAAGAAGAACGGAACAACACCAAATGCTGCGGCTATCAAGGCTATCAAGGACGATCCTGCACTTCTCTCTGACCCTGAGCTTTCTGATTGTTCGGACTCTGAGATTGCCGATTTGAGCGAGGATTAGGCGTCTATCTGTCTACTAAATTATATTAGGTTATCCATAATTATATGTTATGTGTGTTAAAATAACTCTTTCGACAATGAGTTTGTGAAAGATTTGTCTAATATTTGTCTATGTAACTGTTAAATATTGTACTCGTCGCTTTATTTTATGTTTTGTGTTATGTTGAATGTTTCCACAAATTATTTTTGTGAGATACTTATGTTTGAACTAGCTACGACGTTCTAAAGTGTTATAAGTGTTATAGTCATACTTTTATTTTGTTTTCCTATTCGTAGTAGTAATTAGCAAATTAGATACTTTATATATGCTGTGTGAAGTTTTATTTAAATATTTCGTGGCAACAAAAATTTAAGGGAATAACAAATATTTAGTTTTGAAAATTCTCCAAAAGTAGGCTTAGTTTGGGAAATAAATTAGTATAGGGGCTTAGTTTGGGAAAAGTCCCGACAAAATCTTTCTGAAACTCGCAAAATGTTCTCTGGGAGGGTGCGTGTCTCGAGGCCATTATTTTCTTCTTCTTTTTTAATTTTTAATTTGTTATTTTTATTTTTGTCCATTATCGATCTTTTTTAAATTATATTTGAATTATATAACAAAATAAAAATTTATTTAAAATTTTATATTTAAATAACAATTTAAAAAATATCAGGTAAATTAAGCAAATATTTAATTTACATTTTTTACACAATTCACTACTCTTTAGATAATGCATGCTGTTTATTTTTTAAAAATTTAATGTATAAATTATTTATGTAAAGATCAAATTGATCTGATAATCGTACATATAATTTTATCATTTTTTTTTAAAAATAATGGATGCGAAACATAATTTCAAAATTATATAATTTACTTTTAAATAATAAAATAATAAAATTTGGAAGCTAAGATTGTTTATCAATACGATATTGTATATGAATAATTTACATATAGAGATTTACAAGATTGAGCGAATTATAGAATGTGGATTGATTAATAATAATAATAATAATCAACAGTCATAAAATGTTTTTTGGTTAAAAACGTGGTTATCATCCACGTTTTCCTTGGTGAACAGTAAAATCGTGGTTGTGAATCACGTTTTTTGAAAAAACAAAAATTTATTTAAAAGTACAGTAAAAGCGTGGTTCGTAATCACGTTTTTTGAAAAAAATAAATTTTACTTAAAAGTGTGGTTCCTACGCTTCATGTATAAATCAAATGTTCTTAAAAGTGTTTTTTATAACCGCACTTTCTTAATTAAAAACGTAATTTGTAATCACACTTTTACGATGTTAGAAATTTTCTGCGAAAGGGCTATAACAACGGTAAAAGTGTGATTCACCATCACATTTTAGAGCAAGGATCCTCTAGAGTAATTTTTCCCTAAAGTTTCCTAAAGTGTTACATTGTGTAGTTGAGATTTACTGGCAAGTCAAGCAAGCTCAAGACCTCAAGATAATAACTGCACTATTACTTTTGATGCTTCTTCCTTTATGGTTCAGGACAAGACCACCAAGGCCATTTTGCACAAGGGATATAATGCTAATGGCCTGTATCACTTTCCATCTCTGTTATCTTCTTCTCATCATCTTCCTGCTATGCATCCTTCTTCAGTCTCATCTACTGCACTCTTAACAAAGACTTCTGCCTGTGCTTCTGCAGATACTTGGCACAAACGATTGGGCCATCCATCTTCATTGAAGTTTACTGTTTTACAGAAGCATTTGCCTTTTTCTTTTAATAAAACAAAGTCTGATCTTAGTTCTTGTACCCATTGTAGTATGGCTAAGAGTCATAGACTTCCTTTTAAACTGTCAAATTCTACTGTGAATAATCCATTTTCTCTCATTCATAGTGATGTATGGGGACCTTTTCATTCTACTTCTTCTGAATACAAGTATTCTGTGCTTTTCATTGATGATTGTAGTCGCTTTACTTGGCTTTATCCTCTATGTTACAAAAGTGAAGTTTTCTCCAAATTTTTAGAATTTAAAGCCTATGTTGAGACTCAATTTTCTACTAAACTTCAAGTCTTAAGGACTGATGGTGGCACTGAATTTGTGAACTCTTCCATGACTAAATTCTTAAAAGCTGAAGGAATAGTCCATCAACTATCTTATCATTGCCAGTAAATCTCAACCACACAATGGAGCACTCTAGGAAACTTTAGAGAAATTTCACTCTAGAGGATCCTTGGTGCACATTTTAACTTAGTTTAAAAATTCCATTCAAACTAACTCTAATTTAAAAAATAATTTACTATTTTATCTTAATTTGGGAAAAGGCCCCTGATTCTTGGGTATACAAAACAAAACCTAAACCTATTCCAAAGTGCAAAACAAAAGGGTGAGTCTTATCTCTCCAGACCAATAGATTTCTCTTTTCTTCTTTATGTGTTTTTCTTGGCTATCACTCATCCTATAAAGGCTATCGTTGTATGGACATGACCACGGGTCACGTCTATATTACTCGCCATGTTGAATTTCATGAAAATGTTTTTCCTTTTTCTACCTCTTCATCTGTTCCTCCTCAATCTTTATCTCATCTTCATTCTTTCTTTTGGCCTAAATCTACTCCTGCTCCAACTTCCTCTCGATCTGCTGTTGCTACTCTTCCTCCTTGTTCACCAGCAGCCTCTTTGCCTTCTTCTTCTGGAGCTCCTCCTTTCTGTTCTTCTCACAGACCTCTTGTTGTTCCTTCCTCCGTTCCTCAACCATGTTCCTCACCAGCTCCTCTGTCTGCATCCTCTCCAGCTCCTCTGGTTTGTTCTGCTCCCAGCACTGCTGCTGTTCTTTCTCCAGTTTCTCAGCCCTTTTCTGCTGTCCAACTGCCTGCTCCACCATCTTCTCACCCTATTCCAATTGATTCTCTTTTTATTCATTTACCTCCTTTACCTTCTTCTACTAATTCTCATCCTATGCTTACCAGATCTAAAACTAAGGGTCTTGTCGCTTGTACTACTCCTTCCTTTTCAGATATTGAACCTGCCTCTCATCACCAAGCTCTTGCTTCCCCTCTGTGGCATTCAGCTATGCTTGAAGAATATAATGCCTTACTTGCTCAAGGTACTTGGTCTCTTGTCCCTCTTCCTTCTACTAAGAAGGCTATTGGTTGTAAGTGGGTTTTTCGAATCAAACGCAATAGTGATGGTTCTATTGCCCGATATAAAGCTCGGTTGGTTGCTAAGGGATTTTTACAGCAAGAGGGCCTTGATTATACTGAAACTTTTAGCCCTGTGGCTAAACATCCCACTATCCGGGTTTTGCTTTGTATGGCTTTACATTATCATTGGCCATTTAAGGTGATTGTTGATTTGCTTTGGGGAAGTGTTAATGCTAGGGAAAATAAAATCATTCCTCTATCAAAAAGGTGGACTAGCTGGTTTTATAGGATTTAGAGTGGGTTCTCTCCCCTCAATGTATTTAGGTCTTCCTCTTATGTCTTTCGTCAAGGCTACAACAATGTGAAATGGCATTGTAGAGCAGTCCGTGAGAGATTGGCAGGTTGGAAAATGCAATATCTTTCTAAAGGAGGCAAGGTTACTTTGATTAAGAGTACATTGGTGAGGTTGACCACCAATCTTACGTCTCTTTTTTACCATTCCAGCTTTGATTGAGGAAAGGTTGGAAAAGCTTAAGAGAATTAACTGTGCAGAGGCTTGGGGGAGGAATTTAAATTTCTTTTCGTAAATTGGGAGGGTGTGCCCTCCTTAGAGGATGGTGGCCTGGGCATCTGACACTTTCACCCGTTAATTAGGCTCTACAAGAGAAGTGACTTAGTGGATAAGTTGAGGAGGACAATCATCTTTGGAGTAGGGTAGTTGATTGCGAGTAAAGTTTGCAAAGGTGAATGCGTCAGGCAAGGCATTTTTGCCCCTTGACGGGGCGAGGTGTAACTCTCGAGAACGTTGAGGCATTATCCTTTTTGAGTTTTAATTTTTATACTTTTATAAAATATAAAGGCAAGTTTGACAACCAACTAAAATAGTCAAAATGTCACTACCAAAAAGTTAACTCTTCTCTCTACTTTTCTACAGGTCTTTTCGTAAAAAGTTAAAAAGCCAACAAAATAGCTAGTTCCCAAAATAACTTATAAATTAATTTAAATTTGCATAAAAAAATATAAATATAAAATTAATTAAAAATAGCATAGAAAGTTAAAAAAGAAAAAGAAAAAGAAAAAGCAAATAAAATTCATAAAACCATAATTGGCATAGAAGCATAATGAATTAATAAATCCAAAACTTTTAAGAGCTAAGTCTAGAAACATGGCGATTTGAATAAAAACCATCCAATAAAGTTAATGACAAGAAGTAAATATTTTCACAACCCATTCCAAAAAGGAAAAAAAGAAAAAGAAAAAGAAAAAAAAAGAGGTTTCATAAACAAGACAAAAGCAAAATGTAGTTTACTGTTAGTCATCCTCATCAGTATCATCATCATCCTCATCAGTATCATCATCAGCGTCATCAACATCCAATGTACCTATGAGAGAGATATGGAGGGGGAGAAAGAGATCAAGAGAGAAGTACTTTTTCAAACCAGAAATTGAAGCTCTAACTCATGATTCAAACATGCGATTGAAGCCCTCAATTGTGAATCAAATTAAAAATGCTTAGGGCTTTTCAAATTGAAGCCCTAATCAAACCCAACACAAACCCTAGGATTTGGTTTGGGTTCTCTCAGCTTCCTTCTTTCCTACTTTAAAAAGCCTCTCTTACATGAAAACCCCCTTCGAAGTTTGATGTGAAGGTTTATTTCTCTCTTATTCTAATGCGTATTTTTTTATTTATTTTTTCCTTTTTTAATTTGTTCAATCTAGCTTATAATATGTAATTTTTGATTTAGGCATGAAATGTGTAAGAGGTGTGCTAGAGGTGAACACCTTATCGAAATTGCGTGTGCATATTTGGCGCCATGCTCAAATTTCAAAGCATATGTGCATTTTTGGTGTGCCTCACTTCGATCCTTGCCTTGAAGCTCGCCTCATAAACTTCTTTGAAAACTTTGATTGCAAGTATGAAGTTGCCTAGGGGTGGACATCTAAGGGAATTGGTGGGCCGTATGAGGTAGGTTTGTAGAAATGCATTTGGAGATGGTGGTTTGATTTTGCTAGACAGTTGAGGTTTGAGGTGGGTGCTGGTTGAAGAATCCAATTTTAGCACAATATTTGGTGTCAAGATGTTCTTTTATTAGTGGCCTTCTCGGATATCATATTGTGGTTAAGTAAACAAAGATGCTTTGGTTGTGGATTACATGATAATGTCTAATGCTGGGTTGACTTAGGATGTACTTTTCATTAGAGCCCTTCATTATTGGTAGTCAGAGGCTGTGGATGAGTTTCTTGAGCTCTTGTATGGTATACTTGTTTTGAGGAATAGTGAGAGTGAGGACAGGTTGAGGTGGACACATGGAAAGGGGCTTTCTCGCTAAAAGTTGTACCATTCTTTGATTATTGAAGGGTTGTTGAGGCATTGGAAATTTAGAGTTCCAACAAAAGTGACATTTTTTTAGACAACTAGTTTGGATTCCATTCTTACTTATGATAACTTGATGGGAGGATTTAAACATGCTACTCGGTAAGGCTTGTGATGTAGAGTTGAGTTGCTACTTTGTGAGATGGCTTAGGAGCTTTGGAGTTTTATTCTTGCAATTTTTGAAATTCATTGGGTGATGCCTGATTCAATTCTTAATATGATGAAATATTGGAATGGTTGATGTAAGATAAAGAGGAAGAAGGTGTGGATGGTTGTTGTGTGTCTCATATGGTGGTTATGGAGAGAAAGGAATCAATGGACTTTTAAAGATATTGATTTGAATACCAAAGCTCAAAAAATCTTTATTGTACAGTCATCATTTTGGTGTAACAAATTTATTTGTGAATCTTTTTTTGCTTTGGTAGATTTCTTAAGTGAACTTTGTCTTGGTGTTGAGCATTTTTGTTACATGTGAAGCTTTTTAATTTTGTTGTTTTTGTACAAAGGTTGTGCTCTTTTGGCCCCTTCATAATATGTGATGCTTTACTTACAATAACAATTGTGTATCATAGTGGCCTTGTGTCAATACACAAATTACTTTGGTTGGAATTTGAAAAAAGTGTTTCAAAGGCTTTTTTGGGAGTTCTAAGAAATATTATTTTTTCTAATTAGAAATGAATAATAACAGTGGAAGTTAAGGTAATTGGGTGTATTGTTTTGAAAAATATCATAAAGTTGGTGTACATGTAAATATAATTATAGATGCAAATGTTACGAAAGGAAAAGAATAAGATAGAATTTCTAAGGTCAAACAAAATTTTAGAAGGATAGTAAAAAGAGATATGCTTAGCAAAATTTGGTTTGATTATTTTTGAAAACTTATTTGTAGAGAAAATTTCCCAAAATTTTTTCAGAAAATCAAACCAAACGAGCCCATTATTTTTTCTAATTAGAAATGAATAATAACAGTGGAAGTTCAGGTAATTGGGTGTATTGTTTTGAAAAATATCATAAAGTTGGTGCACATGTAAATATAATTATAGATGCAAATGTTACGAAAGGAAAAGAATAAGATAGAATTTCTAAGGTCAAACAAAATTTTAGAAGGATAGTAAAAAGAGATATGCTTAGCAAAAAAGATGTCAAACAAGAGAAGTTCAGTTAGGAGGGATTATTTCGGCATGTGCAACGAAGGTCAATCATTGCATCAATATAGAAGAGCAACATTGTGCAGTGTAATATTAAAAAATGGGTTAAGATATATATATATATATATTTAAAATTGTCTTCGAAACTTCTAATTCATGATTTGATTTTCAATTTCATGTGAGGTACATAAACATTATATAATTATGTGTTTTTGATGCATCTTGACCAGTCTTAGACAGATGATCACTACTCTCCTCAACCCTCTTGCATATGACACACTTTTGTAGAGTCAAATGGCAATTATGCATCCTCTGAACCACATCATTAGTATTTAGTTTCTTATGAACTATGACCACTTGAAAAGTAACTTCAAAAAGGGCACATAATTCAAATTACCTTATGGTGATGAAATAAGGGACCTTAGGATCATCAGGAATCAGAAAAAAATATTACAAGAGCACCCCTGAAGAATGAATAGATCACAATTTCCGATCATTGGCCTCACATCTCAAGGAAATACCATCTAGAATGGACGACAGGGAGGCTAACTCACTTGTGTATAAAAATTGAAGTTTCCACTGATTGGAAAAGTATAAGAAGAAATCATAGGACCAATAGAAGCACAGTGAGACTCAGACAATTGATACTATTGAGGGAATAGATGAGCATCTAAACATCCTCCGAAAAACCAACATTCTCTCCATTACCCGCAATGCAATATCAATGACAAGGATATGTCTAGAGAAAGAGAGACCATGAGAAATGAATTTCTAAGGAGGTCAAGAATTTCCCCTATTATAAGGTGCTTTACTTTGGAAGATCAATGTGATACATGAAATAGAGATAGTAATACTTACGGGGAATATATATTAAGTTTTTTGAGAGACTTTTTCTTAACCAATTAGTGTTTTGATAAAAAGGAACAATATTCTAGTCAAGTTGGTGTGATTAATCTCCTCCATGAGAAAGGTGGTCTTTGTTTTGTAGTTTGTTTTTTGTCTACAGTTTTTGGAAGTGTTTTGGTTTGGGTCTGTCATGGTTTGAAGCTTCATTTTGAGGTTTTGTTTTGCTTAGATTACTTGATTCAACGTAACAAGCCTTAATTCCAATTACTTGGGTTTGGCTACACCCTGCATACATCCAGAACTTTTTACTCAGCTCTAAGTAGAGCTAGTATGTTTTGATTTTTGACTGGATACAAGTTTTGTAATGTTCTGGAAACCCAACAGCGTTGGGGTTACCCTTGGGGACATGTTAAAACATTAGAAGCATTTTTTGGTGCAAATAAAGCCGAGTAAAAATATTGACCAGGTGCATTACGACGGATATGTTAAAACATTAAAAACATAAAACCGAGCCTTTTTTTTTTTACCTTCACCTATTCCCCATTGTGGTTACGTTGATGATTGATCCAATTCTTATAGGAACTTTTCTTTATTCAAGAACTGCTGTCCATTTTTCTTGCTTTTCTCCCACTTTTGCAGGTACTACTATTTGGGACTTTCACTGAGGATGAAACCAGGTCATGGCTCAAACAGTCATCTGAAAAGACTGACAAGCATGTGGAAAAGAAAGAATTGGAAGTTGGTTCTTCAAATGTTGTGACTGGATTATCTTTTGGTGGTTTCAATGGTGAACCAAGCAGACAGCTGGATTCTTCAAGAGGGCCAATAGGTTCTAATCCTTCTGATATTCACAAGGACAATAAGGGCAACAGTGCTAAAACAACAAACAATCTCTTGCCAGTAGCTTCAGAAAGTTCAAATGAAAATGGAGTCATCCAGAAATTTGATCATTCTCATCCCCTTAGTAATGGGAATGAAGAATCGAGAATAGCAGATAATGTTGATATAATTTCTTTGCATGTATCGGATAGTGAAGGTGGTTCACCAAACCAATCACCTTTCTCAAAACTGCAAGCTCTTGATGGTGAAATTTCAAGGGATGTAAATTTAAGTGGGACTAATTCATCAGCTGCAGTGCCTTTTGAAGAGTTTACCCGACAGGCCTCTAATGGGCCTGTCATAACTGTTAAGGACTTGCTACCCCGAGGCTTAATCAACTCAGGAAATTTGTGCTTTCTAAATGCAACTCTGCAGGCTCTTCTGTCATGTTCTCCTTTTATTCAACTCCTGCAAGGACTAAGAAGTCGCAACATTTCCAAGGTCTGATCCCCAGCTTTTTTTTGGGTGAATAGATCCCCAGCTTTACTTATCATTAATTTACATTATTTGTTTGTCTTTTTTTTTTTATAAATTTTTTGGATGTTACCCTTGCTTGTATTATAGATGAGCATAATCTTTTGGTAGAAAATTATTGAATGCCCAATGCAAATGCTGTCATCTTTTTTAGGTTGGCTACCCTACACTAGCTGCATTTGCCGAGTTTGTTGCTGACTTTGATTTGCCTGAGGATGCAAGCTTGAAGAAGAGAGATATTACTGTACTTGAAACTGGTAGGCCTTTCAGCCCCACCATCTTTGAAGGGGTGCTAAAAAATTTTACTCCTGATGTGCCTAATAGCTTTTCAGGCCGGCCAAGGTTTGTGCTTTTATTTGCATCATTTCTTTTTATCTTCTGTTCTCTTCATTTTAAATCCTTTGCTGAGAAGTTCTGGTGATGGTGTCACCTTAATTCAGGATGTATGATTGATGCTTTGCACATTTTAGCTGGCTGAAATTATGAGAGCAATATATTGATTCCTCATATGGAAAATTATTCAACTTGTTTCTGGCTTGCTACATATGGTGATTCTATCAATGTTAACTGGTGTTTCTCAGCAACAGTTTATCACAATAGCTTAGAAACATGCATTCTTAACATTTGCAGGCAAAACTCACATGAGACAGATGCTCAAACCACTGGTAGTCTTCTCAGTCGGTGCACAATTAATTAGAAAGTAGTAGTTCAAAACAACTAGATAAATTCTACATTTAGTGCAATTTTCATATATTCTGCATTTACGCCCATTTCCATTATGTATGGTTTGTATTAGCTTACTTCTGATTATTTGGTTGTAACTTTGTGTTCCTTATTCTTCTCAGGCAGGAAGATGCACAGGAATTTCTAAGTTTTGTCATGGATCAAATGCATGATGAATTACTTAAGCTTGAAGGGCAATTATCAAGCTCAAATGGGGGAAACTCATCTCTGGTTTCTTCTGTAGAAGATGATGAATGGGAAACCGTTGGCCCAAAGAACAAATCTGCAGTCACAAGAACACAGAATTTTGTTCCTTCAGAGCTGAGTGCAATTTTTGGAGGGCAACTGAGAAGTGTTGTGAAGGCAAGAGGTAGGCCAATTTGTTAACTGTCACAAGTATTTTTAATGCTTTGCTAAGAAGCACAAACATGGACACATGATACAATACGGACAAGTTGACATGTAAATTTTCAAAAAATATAGGACACACAACAAGTGCGGAACACATACAAAATATATAATTTTATATATTTATTATGTCATATTTAAGGATAAGTAATTATCTATCTATACTATTATAAAGTGAACACATAACTCTTATGGTGTCCTGAAGCTTTACTCTCCTCATGCCATGTGGCAGTATTTTTTATTTTTAAAAAAAAAAGTTAAACAAAGAGATGGGCAAGGCTTGAACCCATGACCATGGGTTTAAGTACGAGGACTCATACCACTTAAGCTAAATACACATTATAATATTAATTTCATTATTATTTTTTTTTATTCCTACTTATTTAAATTGCACACACATCGTGTGTGCCACCCACTAGATATATATAATATATATGAATATTTAAGTCAAAGATAATAATTTTTAAAATCTAAATGAGGAATAGGTATATAAATTTACATTGTTTTCATTTTATTATTGGATTTCATGTTATTTTATTCAAACTTGTAATGTATTTCATTTGTGTCCAAAGTGTTGGGAAGTGTCCAACAAGTGTTATGTCATGTTGGTGTTCGACACGGTGTCGGACACAACATGTTACCTTCTTAGAAGTGTCTGTGCTTTATAGATGCTTTGTGGATATGAGATGGCATATGATGTGAACATGCCAATTTGTAAAGAAAATGATGTCAAGATGCCACATGGGAATTGACATGAACCTAAGGAGAATGTCATAACATGTGGTCTGGATTTGTTAAATAATACAATATGTATATGAGTATATGTATTATCTACCTGTTATATGAGGCACACCAACACTCCAATAACATTAATTAGCCTCGTCATACTCTCGTATTTTTTATTTATTTATTAGAATGTTCTTATACATATTTGTATGTGTATTTTACCTATAAAAAAAGAAGCAACTGTCTCTATGGGTTTTGTCCGTTCAACCCTTGATTGGTTTAATGTTTATTTTCCATACAATGGTATTGCAGTTATTTTCAAATCCTTGATTCTTCACAGGTGTATGATGTGTAAGTGGACTGGAATAATAGAGGATTGTTATTATTTTGTCACTTAATGGCTTCTTGCTAGAAGCCGGTGTGTTCAGTTTACAAGTCTTTACATTAGTAAAATGAAGTTTTCTTGATATATCAATAGTCCTTATATTTTACAGCATGATGCCTTTGTCCCTCAAGGACTAAGAAGTCGCAATTTTAACTACGCGTTTATTATTTCCTTGTAGTCATGCGGTTTATATTAATTGAAAATATCATTCTAATGTGAACTGCTATAAAATTATGGACAGAATGCTGAAGTGATCTATGGAAAACCTCTAAAACAATTCCGAGATTTGGATAGGATTTTACGTGGGGAGTGAATGAAAAGATTACTCAATTTCTACATTGCCCAATTGCTCTTTCTTAGACTCTTATTGGGTTTTGCTTCATATGCCAGCTACATAGCTTCATTGAATTTTAGAATTTCAGGCTCTCGAACAACTGAAGCTAACTGGTTAATCTGTATGAGTTGTTGTGCTTATGTACCATTTGTCTTCTGCAAACCGTCTTAAAAGAATAGCTCAGTTTAGTTACATACTGAGCTTTCATACTCGTGTCTCTGTTTGTGTAACAGGAAGTAAAGCCTCTGCTACTGTTCAACCATTTCTTTTGCTTCATCTTGATATTTCCCATGAAGCTGTCCATACTATTGACGATGCTCTTCATCAATTTTCTGCACCAGAAACACTTGAGGAGTACCGAACATCAACGATTGGACAGGTAGTTTTTCGTATTTCTTTTTTGGTTTCTCTTCTGTATTGGGTGTATAATCTGTGCATTGTGGTCTGATTTTCAGCTACTAGATAGGAATTTATGAAGTTCCTTGTAAAACATTACATTTTAGAACATGGCACCATTTTATATATTTGAAGGAGGCACAAGTCCTTGCTAGAATCGTGCATGGTTTCTTTGAAGTGATGTGATGTTGTGTTTAATGTTCTTTAAATTCTTATTTTTGTTGTTGTATGCTGAAGGAGCTGTAGCATTACCCAAATCTATGTTACATAGACTTGGGTACAGGTGTTAGGTGCATGTATGTGGTTAAGTGTCCGATTCATCTAATTCCATGTCCATTGACATGGGGACACAACAGAATAATATATTTCTTAATATACTTATTTTGTTTTCTATGGTAAAATGTTGTTTGAAAGGTGCCACAGTATTTCATGCAGAATATAGGGATTTTATACATAGTTTTATGGTTCACTCAAATTACTAGATATGCTGATAGGTGAATGTCAGACTACACATTGGACCCATGCCATATGCCTACCCAAGTTTTGAGTATTTGACATGGGTATTTCATACATTTAGAAAGGTCCATTTAACATAGATCCAAATTATTAGTTGCATTCTTCGTTCTTTTTGAAAGTTGGCATGCAAATGTGATGGCTTTTTTGTCATTAGGAATTCTTGCAATAATTAAAATGTTTGGTTTTGCAAGTTCCAGTGGTTCTGTTTTTATATGTCCACTCTAGCTGTGGCCCAGGTGAAAACTAATCAATATATATGCCTTGCTTCAACAATTTTCACTTTGCTATTTTATCCATATTTTTTATAGCATTTTGGATATTGTTTTTTTGGTGCTTGGGACATGAAGAATTTGTAGAATGAAATAAATTATAAAGAATAGGAAGGCATTTCCATCAAACATAAATTATAAAGAAGAGGAAGGCATTTTCTCCAAACATGGACCGAAAATAAGATATACTGATTTGATAATACAAGTATTTAGCAGAATAGTAAAGAAGGTAGGAAGTGGTGTTTGGTTTGCATGAAATAAATATTTCTATAGAAGCAAAAGAGCACAAATTTGGGTGACCCACACAACCCATATTCAGAAATTTTGTAAATTACCAAAATATCCCTAAGCTTAAAATCCTAGAAAACATAAATATAATTATAAAGTAAGACAATATTAGAAACATAATTATAAAAGATTTCTATGAGTTTCTCTATGAGATCATACCAATGTCCAAGTGTCATCACCTCTCTGATTTTAGTCTTCCTTGAGCTTTTTATACTCTGTAGCATAATGTTAATGTATTTTTGTTTTCTTTTTAACTTTCAGGCTGGAGTTGTGACTGCCAGAAAATCCGTAAGCATACAATCACTCCCAAAGATATTGATATTGCACCTGATGCGTTTCAGCTATGGAAACCATGGAAGCACTAAACTGCACAAACCTGTTCGCTTTCCTCTTGAATTGGTGCTAGGTCGTGAATTGCTTGTTTCTCCATCGACTGAGGTAATGTTTCTTTACATTGTGTGTGTAATTTCCTCAATTTTTTATTCTAGGAGTACCCTTAGCCCTTATGTAATGTTTGATTCACTGGAATGAAGATGAGAAATGGAATGGAATGGTCATTCCTTAGCTTCCTTACGTAATGACCATTCCATTATTCCATTTGCAATGCATTTTCCATGACTTTTTTAGTGAACCAAATGTGAGAATGGACATTTTGGTGTAATAATCATTCTATTCCATTTTCATTCTAATGAACCAAACACTACCTTGCTATCTAGATTGTGGATCCCATGAAGAGGATTATGTGTTTCTGGTTTGAATGATGGTTGTTATGTAAACATTATCATAGTTGTTTGCTGTAAATACGTCAGCAGTTTTTACACATGGGTATTCCAAAATTTTATCGGATACCTCAAAACAGCATTTTTAAAGGGGAGTTGATATTTGTTTTGGATTAACAATATTTACGGTAGGAGTATTTTTCTTGATGCAAGTATGAAAGTCCATTTTTAATTGACAACTTTTTTTGAAGAGTGCAATATGAACGTACACAAATTTATCTGAGAAAATTATGCTCCTCCTGTGGCGCTACAGTTGCACTCAACGTGAAAAAAATAGTTCCTATAATGTAGCTGGTTGATTTGTTGTGATGGTGTAATAGTTTCATAATTTACATTAGAATGGCTGTACACCTCATGCTTTTGGTATATCTTGTCACCATCCTGGAGTTGTCCTTGATTTTTTTGTTACAGCAAGAGTTGTCTTTGATTACCACTCACATTTCCGAGTGCAATTTGAACGTACACAAATTTATCTGAGAAAATTATGCTCCTCCTGTGGCGCTACAGTTGCACTCAACGTGAAAAAAATAGTTCCTATAATGTAGCTGGTTGATTTGGAAAGGGAAACTTAATTACAAAACTTGCGTCAGCGTGTGAATAACTTGTGGTTGTCTTTGTATTTATTAGTGCATTATCAGTCTACCTTTCAAATGTGTAGGTTATCAGCACCCATTCAATGTAGAGATTACTTAACGCATGTTTGTTATATTTTGTGAACCTGTTCAATATGGTTGTAATATATATATATATATTTGGAGAGGGAGGTGGGGTATTGTCCTTGCATTTGATGAAATGCTAATCCTTTGCTCTGGATTTATTTCTTTTGAAACCGTATAAGTGATTACCAACAAGGTGTTGGTGTTACAAACTGTTGGACAAATACTCACCGGTACTTCTGTTTTTTATTTTTGTCTTGGCTTTATACAGGGCCGCAGATATGAGCTTGTTTCTACTATAACCCACCATGGAAGGCAAGCATCAAAGGGGCATTATACTGCTGATGCCCGTTACTCTAATTGCCAGTGGTTACGGTTTGATGATGCATCTGTCAATCCCATTGGCTTGAACAAGGTGTTGCATGACCAGGCGTATGTTCTCTTCTATAAACAAGTCTTGGGTTAACTAAGGAGTTTCATCCCCAGTTGCTGCACCCTACAATTGCATTCACTTTTCACTTTAATTGTGGAGATTATTTATTTGATTGCCACTTACTAGCTACTGAAGTCCAGATCTGGCAGAAGAATGGATCATTCTGTGATTGAAGATGTATATGAAAATTCATGTACATGATTTTATTGGAAGCAAGAGAGTGAGGAAGTTTAATGTTGCAATTACACTGGGACTTGAGGGTTGACATCTTCTATAGTGAGGTTGGAAAGATAATTGTGCTCATTAATTTTGATTCTTATTCTTATATAACTGTTTAAGACACTTTGGCCATGTAATTTTCCCCAGGCAGTGGCAAGCTAAATTTACTTATTAGTGTCAGCAATGCATTAATGGATGGATGAAGGAACTTTTCTGTTACTGTGATTCTAAAGATGTGATTTGATTTTGGATTTGGAGAGAGGTTTGTGGAGGGAGAAGAAAAGAGAACGGTTTGTGAATGAAATATTAGCTAATATTTTTTTATTTCACACGTCAATTTTTTTTTCTTTCCTTTCGTTTCACAAATTTCTCCCTTAGAAGTTCTAAATTTAATTTCAGTCTAAATAAGGTCTTAACGGTATTGTACTTGGTAATTACTTGGTGACATAATTTGTCAAAAAGAATATGGGTTGTATTTGGAGTTTTAGATTTATTGCATGCTGCCAAGGTTCATCTTGAGCTAGGATTGAATTTTCCATGAGATTCCTAGTTGCATTGGTTATCGCTTCTTGGTTTTGTAGACAGCAAATTTAGAATTGTCTTTCATTCCAAAGCATAATTTGTATCCATGCATTTCATATTTCATCAATATTACGAGCCTTTTATCCATTCTCATTGACGGCAGCGAGCAAGTCAAAAAAAAAAAACTCGCGTTGGGTTTAGGGATATAATACTTGCGCCAAGGTGACTATTGTTGAGTTATATCCCTTGTTTCCCTCCATCAAGAAATAGAACTAATTAATTTTATTTCCAAGTCGAAGGGTTGAGAAACTTAACACCACTATTCTTAAACAACTAGGAGCCAGGCATTCTTTTCGCACTATTACGGATACAAAAAAATAATAGGAAAAATCAAATTTAATTGTCACTATTACGGATACAAAAAAAATAATGGGAAAAATCAAATTTAATTGTCAGTTGCCCTTATTGGAAATAGAATTGACTACGGATTTGAGCCATAGCACTTGATTTCATAAAACAATACAATTTTTCCGATCTAAATCAAGCAAGTTTTACATGAAAAAGATATGTTGAGGGAGGGGGGAAAAAGAAAAACAGAGAAGGGAATTGTCAAAATAGTTTAAATTTACTTTATTCCATTCTCCCCACATATCATTTCCCAAGTCTCTAATTTTGAAAAATTATTAAAAGCCAATTTAGTAAAAAAATAAAATGATTCATCACTTCATATAATTTTATTTTATATTTATGGTCTTTATTTAAAATAAAATGATTCATCACTTCATATAATTTTATTTTATATTTATGGTCTTTATTTATAGAAAATTAATTTTTAATTACTATTTTTTTTAAAAAAAAATTATTAAAAACTCAATTGAACAAATGGCGTCGGGTAAAAGGGCCATGGAAGTTCAGCATGAATTTAGAGAGAGAAGGGTTAGAATTTAAGTTTTAAATTTTGGGTTTTGATTTCAAGTTTTTGGTTTTCAATTTTGGGTTTTGGGTTTTAAAATTGGATAGAAGTTGGGAATAAATTTAAAAAAATTATAAACATTAGGGGTCAAGGTGAGAAAATTTAATTTAAGGGTTAAAGTGGAAAAATTGTAAAATTTAAGGGGGCAAAGTGTAAGTTACCTATTTATGCCAAGTGGTGCCCCATGGTTGCAAACATGCCAAGTGGCGCTTGGGCTGGTTTCTTAGACATTTAGATGTAGAAAAATATTCAGGACTAATTGGCAAAATTCCTTTATTGTTTGGGATGACTTAAATAAGTATACTTTTTGTCTTTTTACAAAAAGATGTACAGAAAAGTAGAAAGGTGATGTGATGGAAAAAAGATAAAAAGATAAAAAGATGGATTATTTTTAACTTCCCAAACTTGGCAGAATAGAATCAGTTATTTTATTTTTTCTATTTTTTTAAATGTTTTGTTCTTCAAATGAGCCAAAAGAACTCTCTGCAATGATGTAGGGAGATGAATATAAGGTTGAGATACAAATAAATAAGCTCCCAATTGGCAACTTTAACAGAGTTGGTGAGAGAGATGGTTTGGTTTGGTTTGGTTTTGTTGAACAACAGCTTCTTTATGTTGTTGCTTTAGATATTTGGTTTGCTTACTCTTTTTTAATAGATATTGCACCACCCTTGCTTTCTTCTTAGGTTTTACTTGGTCCTATCTCTTCTGTTCTGGTCATTCAAAAAGGCAAAAGAAACAAAAAAAAGTCTTCTAACTAAAAGGATATATATTGTATTATTTCGTAATTAGAACATAAAAATTCATAACATGAACCATAAAATAACATTACTTTTCTTACTATATAAAATGTTTAATTTTCGCTCACCAAAAAATAACATAACGAAAATTACAAGGCAATATGCAAGGCATTTGATCAAGGAAAAAACACATGTTAAAATTGGAAGGCGGTTTACAAGTAGTTATGCCAAAAGGATGCAGAGTGATAAGTGGCAAATCCTCTGTAAGACATCATGGACTAACAGTTATGCTTTGCAATTACTAATTGACAGTCTGAAAAAGCTAATAAAAGGAAGACATTTTTTTTTTTTTTCAAAGAAGTTTCTTGAATTTTTCAAGGTAAGCTCACACAATTGCTAGGTTATTGTTTAATGAAATTGAGTTAAGGCACTATCAATCCTTGCCTAACAAAATTTTTACTAACAAACTCCTAACTGAGAGTTTTCCAATGTTGCTCGGCCTTCATAACTACACCACAATAATTTGTATCTAACACCACAAAAGTTCATAATTTTCATGACAAATAATCGTAACTTTCTTATTACATACTGTTTGCACCCATTTTTGTAAAATTCTTGGACCAATCAGAGGATGACATATGGTAGAGTCAAAGTGAGAATGCTTCATCAGTCAGAGGGACAGGTGGCATGGAGAAGTTGATTGTGTGCATGGACTGGTCCAAGTGGTGGGGCAGTTATCAAGCGAAGTCATGGACTTGGTGGGCTATTTCAGAAAAGAGTATGTGTGAAATGGAAGGCTTTATCCTGTCGATGTGGTGTTCAAAGTGTTAAGGGACACGTTGCAACATAGATGAGAGCTAGTTCTATGGTCTTTATTTATAGAAAATTAATTTTTAATTACTATTTTTTTTAAAAAAAAATTATTAAAAACTCAATTGAACAAATGGCGTCGGGTAAAAGGGCCATGGAAGTTCAGCATGAATTTAGAGAGAGAAGGGTTAGAATTTAAGTTTTAAATTTTGGGTTTTGATTTCAAGTTTTTGGTTTTCAATTTTGGGTTTTGGGTTTTAAAATTGGATAGAAGTTGGGAATAAATTTAAAAAAATTATAAACATTAGGGGTCAAGGTGAGAAAATTTAATTTAAGGGTTAAAGTGGAAAAATTGTAAAATTTAAGGGGGCAAAGTGTAAGTTACCTATTTATGCCAAGTGGTGCCCCATGGTTGCAAACATGCCAAGTGGCGCTTGGGCTGGTTTCTTAGACATTTAGATGTAGAAAAATATTCAGGTCTAATTGGCAAAATTCCTTTATTGTTTAGGATGACTTAAATAAGTGTACTTTTTGTCTTTTTACAAAAAGATATGCAAAAAAGTAGAAAGGTGATGTGATGGAAAAAAGAAAAAAAAGATAAAAAGATGGATTATTTTTAACTTCCCAAACTTGGCAGAATAGAATCAGTTATTTTATTTTTTCTATTTTTTTAAATGTTTTGTTCTTCTTCAAATGAGCCAAAAGAACTCTCTGCAATGATGTAGGGAGATGAATATAAGGTTGAGATACAAATAAATAAGCTCCCAACTGGCAACTTTAACAGAGTTGGTGAGAGAGATGGTTTGGTTTGGTTTGGTTTTGTTGAACAACAGCCTCTTTATGTTGTTGCTTTAGATATTTGGTTTGCTTACTCTTTTTTAATACATATTGCACCACCCTTGCTTTCTTCTTAGGTTTTACTTGGTCCTATCTCTTCTGTTCTGGTCATTCAAAAAGGCAAAAGAAAAAAAAAAAAGTCTTCTAACTAAAAGGATATATATTGTATTATTTCGTAATTAGAACATAAAAATTCATAACATGAACCATAAAATAACATTACTTTTCTTACTATATAAAATGTTTAATTTTCGCTCACCAAAAAATAACATAACGAAAATTACAAGGCAATATGCAAGGCATTTGATCAAGGAAAAAACACATGTTAAAATTGGAAGGCGGTTTACAAGCAGTTATACCAAAAGGATGCAGAGTGATAAGTGGCAAATCCTCCACTTAGGTGGCAGCTGTAAGACATCATGGACTAACAGTTATGCTTTGCAATTACTTAGGGGGAGTTTGAAGGTTTGATGAAGTTTGAAGGTTTGGGAGTAGTGAGACAGTTACAATGGCAGTTATGAAAGTTGCAGTTGCAAGCTCGGAAGGACCATGCAATCATGGGCCAAGAAAAGATGAGGAAGATATAAAAGTCAGGGATTTGATAGAGTGAAGGGACATCAACAATACTTCACTTTTAGACTTAGGAGTAGTTTCTTCAGTAGTTTGTACCTTGTAACTTTCTGAACTTTGATAGTTTTATTTCGAAATTATCTTTTGTTTACTTTGTAACTATCAATTGTTCCAGAGAGGTCCTCATTCTTTTGAGACATTTGAATCAATTACATAATTTCTTGATCTCTTTGGTTTGATTGTTTTTTTAAATTGTTGCTTGGTTTCTGTTGATCAAGGCCTAGCATAATTTTTACTAATAATTTTTGACACGCTTAGTGGGACAACATCTTAATTTGGAACAATGGTTAAGACAAAGGAACAAAATGACAAGTATCTGGAGAAGAGGCCTATTGAATTTGAGGAAGAAGAAGTAGACCAGGACTTGGTCTTAACTGATGGTGATGATGTTCAACATTTGGGCCAAACAGTAGCTCCAAAGGGCTAGCCAAGTGGCCAAACATCAAGTATTCAAGGCCAAACAAGTGGCCATGCTAAAATCCCTATAGGGGTTTTGGTTGCACAATTGAGGGATGCTATGACAAATCAGTCACTAGAAGAAAACCAGATTCTCCTTGGTGAAGATAGTAGTGTGATGAATGGTCCATCGATAGAGCATTTAGGCCAGGTGGAAGTGAAAGTGGAAGGGAAGTCACATAAGTTGCTTTCAAGTGCTGGAGTTGCTCATCTAGTGCCACCAGTTGGAATGCCACATCAATCTCTTGGGGAACCTATGTCCTTTTATAGGGATCCAACTGCT